TGTGTGTGACTGTCATTAACAGTTTGGTTAGTCTTGCATGTTTCAAGGCATCTTTCAGCTCTGTATTTTCATCAAAAATCTAAATGTACTTTTCTGAACTTCTGAATATTTTAAACTTGGTTTTCACACCAAGTAGGAATAAAGAGTTGAAATAATCAAATTCTACATTAAATGGAAGATGCAAAAATCTTTGACATGAAGATTTTATCTTGTTTCTACACATTTGATTTAGCAAAAGAGTTATCAGCATTCTTAAACTGAGCTTGTTTATTTTACTTTGGTGTCTTTGCCTCGTACACTGGGTAAACTGAAGGTGTCCCATTAACCTTCTATCTCCACCTCCAAGGTTATTTCTTATTGATTTGATCTGGCAATCAGTTTCCCTGTACCTGTGCTTGTCAGTGAAGCAGTCAGAAGAAAATTGGCCCTTACTTTGTAAGGAACCTTGTATCTGTCCCCTACCCTGCAAGTTTTGCTCAGCCCATGTTGCTTGCTGTAGGTCTCTGCACAGGGGACAGGCTGAGGAAAACTTCCCGCAACCTTCTGGCCAACTGAACTAATCAGAACTAATAATTGTACTCTGTGAAGTGTTAAAGTAGAGAGGGGAGAAAATGTCTAAATAAACATGCTGCATACCGTAAGAAATATACAGTGACTCTTTGTACTTTTTAACAAGCTTGGATCAGGTTTGTAGGTAGTTCCACTGGACTATTCCACCCCTGCATTTGTCTAAAAGGAGAAAAAAGATTTCAGCAAAATTAAGAAAGCTGTAGTGTGGGTGGACCCCAGTACACTCAGCGTAAGAGCAATCCTCGTTCTGATGGATGATAGCTGAGTAAAAAATTATACTTATTTAATTTTGGTATTCCTGAGTATAGTCTTAATTCCCTGGCACAGAATTTATTTATTTTTAAGGGACAGAAATCAAATTAAGACATTTGTGTATGTCTAAGTAGGGCAAGGCTTCAAGTTTTTACCATGTATCTCTTGAACAAACTTATTTCCAGATGAATTACTTTTTCTAGTATACTTATATCTAGTGATCATCTTTATTTGGAGTTGGTTTAGGCTCAATTTTAATGGGAGAAAAGCCCTCGTCCTGCACTAACAAACATTTTGTTTTCCACTTTTATTGTGTTTGAATTAATAAAAAAACTCAAACCAAAACCAGTTCTTAAGATGCAGTGATGCTGAATTATGGTTCAAGTTGATAATTTTTGCAAGATGTGCAGATGAGCAGCAATGCAATTCTTATTTAGATTTGGAAGTTTAAGGGTTTCAGAGTTTCCCCCCACAAACCACATGTCACAGTGGCACTGGGGAACCACAGAAATTCTGCTCTTAGGAGCTGTATTCCTTTCACCTAGCTGTAAGTAGCTAAAGGATACTGCTCCTGGTGTGTTGTCAAGACCTCCACTGGTTCTGCTCCTGGGGTAAGTTGGGCATGCCTAGTTCCCAGTGTGTTCAGGGCAAACGCAATTGTCATTGTTCAATAGCTCCTGTATCCTGTAACCCTTCTATTATAGGATAATATAATCTGCCTTCTCGCTTTAGAGAAGATGCATTGTCACTGTTGTCATAGATTTAGACTTTGAAATAGATTTCACAGAATTTTTACATGTCAAGATGAAGGCTGCAAATTATCTTCACAAGGAGACAAGTGAAGTTTTAAATATTAATATTGTAAGTTTGTTCTGAGTTGTCTATGGTATGAGAAGTTTAGTGAGTTTTTGTTAGGGTTAGAATTGCCTCACTGGTAAAAAAATGGCACATTTTTTGAAGAAGACCTTTATTTAGAAAGCTTTCTGTAGGATCTGTGCTGCACTGAAATGTCTTTTTAGCTATACTTTCCCAGTTAATGATGTACAATGATGACTTAAAAACTAAAAGATATGCTTATACAACTTCCTCTTCTTGAGCATATTAACCTTTATTTGCAGAGTGATCAGGAGGCAAATTATTTGTGAGTTTGTTTGAGTTACTTGAGAATGTTTAGGATTAAAAAGGATCCCACTGCAAGACAAGGGCCAGACAGGTTTAGCCAGGTAAGAGCACATGAATAGAAAAAAGTCTAATTCTGAGGTGAAATGTAGAAGCTTCTAATTAATTTTTGGGCATTCAGTCAGGTCACTCAGAAACAAACAATGATACATCAGGAAGGGAAACTATTATATTAGGCAGCAGCATGTGTTTGCCAGATTAGGCTTCTTGAGCAAAATTAGAATAAGATTTTCTTTTGTTGTTCTAATTAAACTATTCTGCCCTTTTGATTGTCTTAGGTCATTGTTGATGAATGACAGAGGAGTGCCTTGACTGCTGCTTCCCAAATACAATTGAGTTTGATGGTTTTCAGTGGAAGAAGACATATATTTGCTGAATTTAAAGCAGCTGTAACAGAAACAGCAACTGCATATTTTGAAAGTTAAACTGTGCTCCTGCATATATTGGATTGGATAAATTTGAATCTTTAAATTAAACTTTTTTCTTTTAAATTTCCCTTTATTTTCTAGAGTTCTTATGTTTAAGATTTAAGATAAACCACGAACCACAAGTAACTTCTTAGATTTCCATGCAAGAGGTCAACTGTAGCTAATTAGCAGACTGCCATTGTGTTGTGTGTTCAGAACATTCCTGCTCACTTGGGAGGTAATCTTTGCTCACCGAGTTATTCAGGCAGTTCCTAATAACGCTGTCTGCAGTGTAAGCTGCCTTTTGCACTGACAGAATTCACTTCCAACACAGAACAAAAATATGAGCTTGATATAAAGGGGAAGGTGTAATTTTGCAGTGCAGGCACCATAGAGTTTACTTTGCTAATCAAAACCAGAGGGCTCTCCTAGAGCTTCAGTCTCTCTGAGTTAGATTTTATGCTGTTTAGATTCAATCCTGTCCATGAAGAAAGTTTAGAAAAGCGTATGTAAATATCAGTTAACATATGTTAAACACTTATCGATTTCTTCCATGAGCTCTCAAAAGACTGACTACTGACATCTCTGGGTGTTTAACATTTGCACTCATGTGTTCCTGAGCAAGCAGTAACTGCATCTCTACACCTGTAATGCTGTGTTTGAGAAGGGTGGCCTGTGTTTGTAGTAATATTTGTTATATTGCAAATTTACCTTTAGCATGTTGCCTTATGTACAAGTTATCTTCTTTACTTCGTCCTAGTGTAATGTGCATTATTTACTCCGCGGTTCTAGCAATATTCTCACAAGATTACTCTGCATGTGTGGAATTTATCACCAAATATGATCAGCAGAAATATTTATTTGAATTTGAGTGAATTCCTATTCACTTAAGGGCAAAATAAGACAGTTTACCAACTGAATTTGGAAGGAGTTGATACAAGCCTTCAGTTACTATGTGGATAAAAAATGCAGGGACAGATGCCATTTCACAGAAAATGGTTGACAAGCATATATATGCTTGACAATTTTCTATTAATAACCTTCTTTATTTAAATAATTAAATTCCTTGTCAGATGAATATTGGTTCTTTTTCTTCTATTACATTTTGCGCATTGCTTAATTCTGAGTAATAGACTGAATTTTTCACACCTTTGCTAACAATATCTACTTCTTGTGTTTACTTTTTCGTCTGGACAATGACGCTGGGTTTGTATTCCTTAGGTTGTTAATATGTGATGTATAAATACATGGAACATGGGAACTTTCAGACACTCTATGTATAAATAGCTTTTTCATGAGCAGTCAAGCTAAATGATATTTTCTTTTTTTTTTTGGTAGGGATATTTGTTCTTTTTCCCCAAGTACACCAATGACCCCAAATGCTGTTCCCTTTCCTGGCTCTATATAACTACCTTATTTGGCCTATTAAAGCACAGCTGCACCCAATGCTGGTTTGCTATTTGCAAATGTGGGACATGTGACTTTAGGGGAAAATGGGGCATAGAAGAATTTCATGTGTTATGCTGCATCCACAGCACAGCCCAGCCAGAAACTTTTAATGAAGTTTTTGGGAATCTATTAGGGGTACAGAAGTGACATACAAAAATTTTTTTTAACTTTGAATAATAAAAGAGTATAAAATGCCCTGTCACACAGAGTTGTTTATATGGACCATGTTGGTGATTTAAGAAAAAGAATCATTATAATTTATTTCATCACAGTTTCATTGAACATTTTGAGAAGTTAGATATTCAAAGAAAGAAAGGTGGAAATTATCAAATCTGTAAACTTCAGCTATGAAATGGGAAAAAGAAAAACTGGCATAAGCCAGTAAGCCAGTGACTCTACTTAAATATTCTTTGTTTTCCAGTGAATGGGTTTCCTGGTCATAGTTCATAGGAAAGACAACCTTTGAGTTTGGCACAATTTATAAAATGTATGGTCCAAATTAGCCTAAAAATTGAATTGGAAAACCGAGCTAATGTAAAACAATATCCATAAGAAAATCCAAAAATTGTTTTAAAATATTTTTCTATCTACTCCATTATTACCTACAAAGAAATCTCAGGTTTCTGGCTCTGCTGTCTTCAGGAATTACATAATGTTGTACTTTTTTCCCCTTCTCAAAAGAAAAGAAAGAGTTTTAGCTTTGAACTTAAAAGCTCTACTTTGTTTTGAAAATTCTATTTGAAAACTCTCAGTCGCCTAAAAGCCTGCATGTGTCTATTTTGCTTTTACATGTGGTACAATACCAATAAAACAGTCATAACATGAATTTTAATATCCAAAAATGGTCTTTGACAAGTTTTTTTAGGTACTTTAACTAAATCTAACTTTAACTAACTTGTTCTGCATTGCTGTTTCTTTGTCAAGAGTTCTTGAATATATATATTTTTTACTGTCTGTTGTGAATAAATTACTTGAAGTTTTAGCCTATTCAATAAAATTATGGAATATAAATTAAGCAAAGAAATATAAAGAGTGGACCTGTCATTCTGAGAGATTGATCTAGGATTTCTTGGAGATTTATTTTAGGAAATAATGATGGGTTTATTTATATTTTTCTTTTTTTTTTATAATTTCTCTATTTAGATGGAAGATGTCATAGCTCGCATGCAAGATGAGAAAAATGGGATTCCTATTCGTACAGTGAAAAGTTTTCTTTCCAAGATTCCCAGTGTCTTTTCTGGTAAGAGTCAAAGTGAATTTCATACCATTTTAAAGTTTTATGCAAGAGGATGCTCTAGTGGGAAACACTTTTAAATAAGTACTGTTAAGAATTTGCAGTCATCTGGTCTGGAGGAGACATTATTTATTCTTTGAGTAGTTTAATTATAGAAGTTTTTGATGTTTCTCTCAGATTGGAGTGGGTTTACACAGAGATGTTTTTGTCCTGAAAATTAGGTGAAGGGAATACTTAATTTGCTACTAAAAGTTAATTATATCAAACTGGCAATATTTTTATGGCACGTCAGGTCTGGTTTTTAGCCAGCTTCCATAGCAAGGATGAGTTTAGTGTATTGGCCAGTACATGAAGATAAGAAATTTCATAGCAGCAGAACAAAAGAAAAAGCATCACCACACTCTGCAAGTGATGCTGATCAGGGGCTGTGACACTTATTACAGCATTCATGATCTGCTTCTGTAGCTCGATGCCTGTGCCTGAGAAACTAAGCCTGAGATCTTTGTGGTGATTTGCAGGACAGCTGTGCCTATACCTACTCTATAGCTGGTCCAGGTCAGTTTAGGCATAGGCATAAAAATATTTCTATTAACTAATTAGTTAGCATATAATTAGTCTGTTATTTACATAATTTTATGACAATTTATGCATTTATGTATGTGGCTATATACTCCAGTGAGTATTGAGTTCCTTTGAAATAGATGCCATTGTTTAACCTAATTTTTCCATGATCAGCAAGAGTGTATCCATATACAGAAAGTGGTATACAAATTTCTACCATCCAGAACACCAAGAAGAATTCTATATTTTAGTTTTCAACTTTTTGAATGTTTTTCTAGTGAATAATCCTGTCATAAAGAAGGGTAGAATCTTAAGAGCAAACAAAATTGCTTCCTAATTTTAGACAATAGATTTTAGATTTTAGAAACTTGCAGAAAAAATAGCCTCAGGGGAATGGACCTTTATTTGCCATGAGTTAGTGCAGCATGGCATCTTATTGAAGAATTCATATTAATTTTTAATCTCTGCCTTAACCTGTGTATGATGGATTTCAAAATAGACCGACCAAAATGTCTTTTTTTTTTTTTTAGTGGAATAGCTATCATACATTTAAAGGTTGAGTTAGAATATATATATACACAGTTATACATAGCAGTTACTGATATACCAACTTTTCTATTGTTTCATTAATTTTATTAGCTTCATAGGAAAATAAAAAGTCATAGGACAGTTTGTTTTTTTTCCACTTTTCTGATTTTCTCTCTCAAATTCCAGGGAGTACCAGTAATTTTTGATGCACATGACTGAAAATCCCACCAGAACAGCATAACTGTCATTTCAGTTCAATTAATCTACTGTCCTGTCAGTTCTCTACTCTGAGTGGAATCTGAAAGCTTCAAATCTATGTCCTAAGTCAGTAAATTCATTTAATGTGCTAGGAGTTTATATATGTAGCATACAAATATCAGCTTAACTCAAAGCTGTTGATTGCTAGGAAACATGGGAATATTGTCTAAGGATCATGACAACAATAATGCAAATATATTTAGCAAAAACTTATAGTACTGTTAATACCTTCAAAAGCATCAAAGTAGATGCTCTTCAGTTAAAATATATTTACTTATATGCTCATATATTTATATATATCTGTGTGTGTGTTGTGTGTGTGCATAAAAAATATCTTGTACACACCATCTGTCCTGGATTATGCCTCATAAATACTGGAGCTTTGCAATTGTTTTATTTTGTTTGTTTTTTTAAAATTTTTTTTTTCCATGGGGAGAAGCAAAATGGATAACTCTACCACAGTGAAATCATTTTCCTGCATGCACTTAGGAAAGACACTGCAAGTCCTTTAAACAACTTGTAAAAGCTGAGGATATCCATCAATTGTCTGTAGGAATAGGGTTCTATGTGATATAGTTGTAATTGTTTTGTTATATATATTTTTTTAATGTACTTCTATTTCAGAGTATTGCTTCTAAAAACAGGAAGTGAGAAACTAGTTGAAAGAGCAGTCACTTTTTATTGCTGAAATACTGACCATGTCTAAAGATGACTATATTAGCAAAATCAGCCTGAGGAGTGGTATTTGAATTTAACAGAATGTTGTGATTGTAATAAGTTAGATGTTGTAATCATTCTATCTCATTTACTGAGTCATGCCTGAAATGTTTACACAAGTAAAATATCAACAGAGAGAAACATTTGAAATACAGATATTTCCCTATACACTATGCAGATTTTTGTTCTTCAGAAAAGTATAATCCTAAATTAAAGATTATTTCACTTTGTAAAATTTTGAAGATAAGGAATCATTTTGCTTTATGTTGCATGTACTCCATACATTTATAGAGAGCAAATAAAAATTTCAACTTTTAAGGCTCAAAGGAAAAATTAGGCAGGAGACTTTGCTCCTTCTATGTGATTATGCATTTTGATGAATAAAAGGAGGACTTACTGTCTCCATGCTTTTGAAATGTTTTGGAGGAATGAATAAGATAATGTATATAGACATCTTGCTGGTCAGCAATAACGATTACCTGAAGGTTGCCAAATGCATTCTTTATTAACATGGATTAGAGTATTAAAAATAAAGAGGAGGTGATTTTTCTGGTCCATGGTTCATCTTTAGACCTGGAAATGGATAGAAATGATGAATTTAGGGACTCTGACATACGAATCATAGAGATTAGAAGGAGCTTTAAAAAATAATTTTTATTTTTCCTAAGGAGGGATACAAGAAAATGCCAAAGCTTTGATGTTCACTTTGAAGCAGAAGTAATCATTCAGAGTTTACTGACAAAGCAGTAGTTGAGGGTTTGTTTTGGAAGTCTTTGTGAGGTGATGTGGGTGGTTTACCCAGTCCTTGTGCTGAAAGTTTTGTAAGCTAATCAGAACATGAATATTTCATTAAGAAGATGTAGTGATGTCTTGTGGCCATTTTGGAATATCAGTGTAATTCTTCATTGGGCTTTAAAGTGTACAATAATTGGGTGACCTTGCTGATAAAAGCTGTGGAGAATGTGCCAGTTGAGTGGTGTGTAACCTTGAGTGTGGAACATGAGAATTTTTATTTAGGAGCAGGGTGAACTATTGAGAAATATAAGTTCAGTCAATACACACAGAGGGAGAATAAAAACATTTCTAGAAAAACATACTCATACTTGTTATTACTGGGCGTTTCTGATGCAGGGCTCATTGATCTTGGAATGTAGTCACAGCTTGAACCAACAAAAATAGGAGAAGGAGATCAGTAGACAGGTGTGGTTTTAGCACCTCCTGTGTTAAAGAGAAAATTAAAACATTAATTTACCTTACATTGAAAAATATGATCCGTGTGAAGTCTTTAGTTTTTTTCTCATTCCTGTAGGTGAAGCTGATATAGTATCCTATCCATCTAAACATTGTATTTTCCCATTTTTAGAAAGATTATTGCCATCATATATAATTTTTCTTAAATGTTTTCCCTGATCTCAGAAAATCCTTATTTCTCTTTTACCTGGGAAATCATGAAAATAATGAGATATTGCATTTTGATAAGCAAATGTATTACTATAGTGATTTATTACCAGTAGCAGTAGGCTTGGTAAAAGAAATGAAAGAATTCATGTGTTTGAACATAAAAAAATCTAACTTAAAAGCAGGCTGTCAGTCTCAGTAGCCTGGACAGATGTAGTGAGAGACTCCAGAGGAAAGCAGTGTTATAATTGCTCATCATTCTCTCAAATCACAGGTGGGTGAGCCCAAGGAATGAGTCACAGGGGCTACCTGCAACTGTATTGCTTGTTATACAGAGTCAGGCAGCAAAAATGAGGAACAGTACAGTGAGAATTGGATGACTCAGGGGACTAATAACAAGAGAGTTTCATCTGTCATTAGTTTTGATCTTTTCCAGTTGAGTAATGAGTTGTTAACATCTGATGACTTCTCAGTGCTGCATGTGAAATTAGTTGATTGGTTTATCCACTTCAGTATTGGAAATTACCAACCTGAAAGACAGAATGAAACAGAAAGCTCTGCTACTTGGTTTGACAAGAAACAAAAGTCACAAGGCATAAGATTTTGATCATCTGGTGCCTTTGGACCAAAGTAATATTGCATTATAGGTAAATAAAAGAATTTTGGAATTTCTGTTTTTGAGATATTTTTGAGAGTAAATCAACATTTTTGGAGAAATTAGGATTCTCAGATCTGAAGTCTTGAATTTTATAGACCTTGTTTTTAACTTCAGTGTCTCCCATGCTGGGTTGATGACAGGTTTCTACTTTCTTGTTCTATCCATTTCTTCATCTCTCGTTTCTTGCACTGTCCTAAAGTGTGATCTAATGGTAGAACTATTGCTGATTTCTTTGTGCCAAATGAGCCTCTTGTTACTTGCAAACCAAGCCTTCAGTGTTGAAACTGCAAGCTCACTGCCTTGATTAGGTTCCACTCTTAGTGAAATGCTTTGATGAAAACCTTGCTATCAGTTCATCAAGGACAAAAGCTGGATCATTCCCTCTTCTGTGCGCTCTTCAATGGGCAGATTGGAGCAGGGACTTCTCATGTTTACAGTTTCACTTTTCAAAGCAGAATTTTGAGAACAAAAAGTTAATAAACCTCTATTCCCAAATGAATAATGTGTTTGAAGTTATACTACCAGTCTCTTGCATTTGTCATTTTGTCAGAGTGACTGATTTGCATTCAAATGTTCATAATCTTTTGGGAGTGCATATTTTTTGTTCATGATTTTTAGAGTCATGAGTAGAAGAGATTGACTAAGTGGAGCCATAAGACTGGGCACACAGTCATTTCCAAGTATTGACAGAATTAAGTGATTAATGAGTGATGATTTGTATGCTTTACAGAAAACCAAAGTGGATATTTGAGTGCTCCCTGCCTCCCTTCACCTTCTGTTTCTGTTTGTTTGCCTGTCTGGGCCTTGTGACCAAGACGTGGTTACTGAGGGTGATCTTAAGCTGCTTAAAACTTGACAGAACTTTTGTATCTTATGGAAAATCAGA